TGTAATACAATGATAAACTGTATGATAAACGTAATGATCGTAACAAAAAAATCATCTTATCAAGCTGTAGAAATAGACGTGTTGGATTCCGCTCCAGTTGCAACAATGCGTTTACTGGATTAGCATTTTTATCCGTTTCATAATAGTGAAAACAATTAGACTTGTGCAACTTTTTATTAAACGTTTCGACAACTCTCTAGAACTAGAAATTTCCAATGACACAGATTCGTAGCAATAAACCGGTCCAATTTAAAGTGCAAAGTTCATGGTTATTCATAACTATACTTATCATTACCGCAATATTTCCCCTTATAACTTGAGTTGAGGGGGCTCATTCAAATAAATAAATAGCCCTTGGATTGCTGCTGTCAGCATCGTAGTAGTAACAAGGGCAAAAACGAACATACATTATTCGAGAGTCATAAATTCGAATGGGTCGTATTTAAATAACAAACAAACTGCGCTCACTGGCACTTTCGTATCGTCACGTTCTTCGGTGACAACAGCAGAGATATATTCGAAAAATGCTTGAATTTCATCTTATTTTAGCCGGACTTTATATTAACCAATGTTTAGTTCGAGTAAAAAATATTTTCAAGGTTGTAATGTACTTAGTGTTTACTGCTTACGGCAACTTAAAACCTATGGATACCCAATTCTAGTCGATGTGGTTTTACGTTCGCAAGTTTGCCCATAAACTCCTGAGAAACATAATTACGATCACTATAGAAGAAGCTTAGCTATTGATTAACTGGCAGTTCCAGCAAAAAAAAAGCCCATCAGCGCATGGAATGAACCTATAGAGATACCTGTACAGGCCAACGAGTAAGTTAAGGAGAGAAGTGCCAAGAAATGGAAAAATTCGCTGGAGCTACGTTTATTGCTAATATATTGAGTGGTCGTAGAAGACTAGTCGGAACGAACGCATACCATCGCTACGTGTCGCTAACGAAGACAAGTTATCGGCTGTTACAAAAAAATGACGAAGGAAATAGGCAGAGTTCGCAGGTGATTCTTAATTCTAAATGGAATTTGTCCTGCAGTGGCACGCGATGAAGTTGACACTGCTCTTCATCGACTTCTCAGGTAAAGAAGTCAACAGCCTCAAGCAACTGGCTGGGCAATATGGCCCGTATGATCGTCACAGATAGGTTATTGGGAAGTTTTGGAGATCCATATACACGTTAGCTGCAGTGGTTACGAACCAAAGACGTCGTATAAACTTTATCCACTGCATCTGTCAAACAGTTTTGTTAGATACCACACCGATTGTTGATTTCCTGATCAATAGGTGGTATAATATTTGAAGTACCATACCAAAAGTTAGGGAGGGAGTATAAGTGGCTGCTTTACATCGGCGTATATTCGACTGTAAACCTAATGAGACGATGCAGAATGTCGAACATGTGCGAATTGGAACTACCATTGTCATCATATTTAATGGCCAAAGACTACAGACTCAACTCTTCACTCTGATATACTTCACATGATAACGCCATATACAACACTACAGTGTATACACTATAAATATACATGATTTAGAGTAGTCGAATTGATTAACTAGCCAAAATGGACGAGTTCAAATTACATAAACAGTCAGACTTCGTACTTAATCTATTACAGCCGCAACAATCGATCTATATACAATGTACAGTTATATACAGTTAATCTATATTCTATCCCCTAGATGTGTCGGAAATTGTGTCAGGGAAACCATAGAGCATACGTTTCAGCTGGGAAGAACTAACCTGTACGGAAGAACCTGTATAGAAACAAACCTAGACATAGTTATGGCTATTACTTCTTGGACGACTTCAATCCCTTCGTGCTAGTTCCACGTTATTTCTTCAAATAAATTTCATATTGAAATCGATTAGCAGGCACATCGCATTGCATTACTATCGTATGTACATATATTCATATAAATGTACATTAAAGATACGTTTTTAAGCTCGAGGTGATGCGTGCCTTAGATGCTACATTTCACAAGCTATTCGTGCACCTCATGCTTCCAACCGTCAGTTTTGCACATATGTTTCCTTCGCTTTTCTTACCAACACAACAGAAGTGATTTTTTAACACACTCTCGAATTTACATGCATCCGCTTGAAATTTGTAGACCCATCGTCTAATTATATCCTGACTTTGTTGTTGTTGTTGTTGTTATTGAGTAATCGTTTGACCAGGTTAGTCCTACAAAAGATCTTGCGTGACCGCCAGCCAAAAACGAAGTAAGATTTCCCCTGGTGTCCATTTCGAACAGGTATTACTCGCGCATAGCAAACGTTCACAACAAGGACAAGGCTTTTAATATATCTAACTCAAGAAAAAATCACACCAACGACCCCAACATGCTTACAGCCGGCGGTCGTGCATGAAAATAGGGCATCTATTCACCAATAAAGATTATGATAATTGATCGTTATACCCATGATCGTCTTTCATAAAGTTAGTAGCTCACCTAGCGAGCTTCGATGCATGTAAATGTGAAGTTTCTCCTTGCCTTTTTTGACTATCTATTTATCACAAGCGATTTAGATTAAGGATTCTACCACTTGACAGTAACGTTGTCGTTACTAAGAATATGGCACTTGGTTGAATAAAAGATCGAAAAATCACGTGTTTTTTTTAGCGTCTACTTAATAATGAGCGCCGGCACTCGAATGTAGCCACATTCACACGGAAAGTTTTGCACGCATATAATGCTTACAGTCATTGCCATGCGCATATATGTACGTATATATATGTGAACCAGCGAGGTCGACGCCGATACGCTGACGCTGGTGGTGGGGGATGGCGATAATTTTCATTGTAAAAATACACACCTGTGTCGTTGGCTGATTGGGTTTAATGAAGTGGTATGGCGTGTGTGTGTGTGTGTGTTTTGCCTTTTGTTTAATCAGACTCAAGTAACCGCTAAACCATTGTAGTACACGTGTTTAGACGCCAGCATTGCTGAATGGACTACATGGTCCTCCGCCAGGCTCTGCGACAACTGAAGAATGAAGAACACTCTTCTGCCATGTTGTTTTACTATATTTGCTCATCTGGTCAGTAGCCGCTCAACGTGAGACTGTAAAGGCTTGACTTTGATCACTTAGGTGGATCTTAGCTTGCTCTTGGCGGCACCATCAACACCAGCTGCTGTTCAGGACTGAATTCAGCATTGAAAGACGACGTTATTGTAATAGAGTTAGTAGCCTACTATTCAATTTTTCAGGATAGAGTAGATCTATACGCCACAGTGTATGCCGTGTTTGGGGTAAGTAAACATACTGTTCTAAACATTGCCATTGACCAATGCATGCCGCTCTATGTCTGTGCGTCCCCCTAGGTACAGTACAATTAGATGCGTGCCAAGAACAAATATATTAGTCTTCTGCCCATTGTATGTGTGTGTGTTTGTAGAAAATAATTGTTGGTTTTTGCGAATTATTGCTGGTATCGCGCTAGATTATAGCCGGTTCATTTGTTAAATGAGTCGGCTAAATCTAGCGCGATAGGAATACATATTGATACTCGAGCGTATTTTAGTGCTGCTATTAAAATTTTTTCTTGATTACCTACAATTCGTGGTTCTATAGTAAGATTAGATGTTCCTATAATTTGATCTTTAGGATTTATTTTTTTATTTACACTAGGGGGTATTACTGGTGTAATTTTAGCAAATTCTTCTATTGATATTGTTTTGTATGATACATATTATGTTGTTGCTCAGTTAGACAGCCATTGGTATCATACAATTATATATATATATATATATATATATGATTTCAGCTTCGAAACAGTAGTTCGGAAACCCTTTTAACGCGGAATAAAATTTGAGAGCCGGCATATGCTTCTCTTCAGCCACCATTTTATATAGGAAGATTCCAGTTTTCTAAAGTAGCGTCTCCTACTGAGGCATCTTAATATACGTTTCTGTTGCTAAACCCTATAAAAGATACCACTGTGTTTTTCTTTAGTACATACAGAAATTCAATAACAAACAAAAACACAAAACGCATGATAAACTGATAGTCAACCACTTGGCTAATAACATAAAAAAATAACATTTTAATTCTGATTTTTTTTCATATTCATTGTTATAATATATTGATAATTATTACAGAGGTAGCCTGGGAGGTAGTTTTGGTCCTCCTGAAAGAAGTTTTTAACATTTGCACAGAATTGGTTTATTTGTTATTTATGCTGCCTATATAAATAGTTGTTAAAGATCTCCTACTGTAATATTTGATACTTGAAAATATGTCTGATAATAAAAATGGGAATAGATGGAATGACCTCAAGAGAAGTTCATATATTTTTTATATACGTTCGTATTGCACCCGAGTTATAGCTCTAGTTATGCACCATCTTTTGCCGTTTTACCAACCCAGCTAGTTTTGCACTTAGTTATTCTGCCTAATTTACGTACCGAACTATAGTTCCAATGTTACCCTAGCCTAATCAGCTATCAGAAATAAAATAAAATTAATAGTATAGAACAACCTTCTTGCGTGTGTTTAATCATATTTATAGCAATAGAGTAAAATAATAATGATTCGTTAATGATAATTTAACGTATAAACATATTAGCAGAGTAAATCATTCATCGAAATAAAAGTAAGTTGTTTAAGGTAGATCTTGACCTCGACGTCTCCTATAGGACGATATTATACGTCAGCAAAAAACGGCTTAACATTTGTGAGTATGCATGTTATAGAATACGATCAGTACACAACCGCTGAACAAACCGTTTGTTCTCAGCTATACAAAGCATACAAACGAATAATACTATAATCGCTTGCAATCTTTTTAACTTTTTTTTTGCAAAATTTTTAAAACTCGCCATCTATTTTCGATACTGCTGGGAATGGACTAACCCCAGTAGATTCACATCGCTGTTTGACATTTCGACAGCTTCAAGTGATTTTTCGCGCGAGCTTCGCTGTTTCCATCCTGAATAAACGCATTATACTTTCAACTGTGTGTCGACACTATACCCCAGAACTGCGTTAGTTAGCTTATCGTGTGTCGGGTTCTGGCCGGTTTACTGTTGTTGATAAACTAGGCTAGGTGTTAGTTGCACTTCGAGAGAAGAGGGTGTCGGGGTGTCAAGATAGCAATGTGTACGCACAGGCTGACGGAATTAGTTGACGTTCCAGTACTGTGGCCCCTCACATAGGGCTGAGTCGTCTCGCATTCAGAAGCGTTTAGTTTTAGCAATCTTTACCAAATGCCGATGACTGAAGCATACCCGTTAGACTTGAAATGTTGTTTGTGTGAGTGAGATACAAATGCTAAAATTTACCATATCTTACCTTGACTAAATCTATGAACGCCTCCGGGCGGATACGACCAGTCACCGCGTCCCAACAGTCGTTTGATGGCCATTGGTTTTTCTCTTTCAGTCTCGAAGAAGCAACAGCTATTAAGAGCAACCTTTTTGTAACGGACGGTCTCGTGTCGATGAAGCCGCTGTCAAGTTGGTGACTCATAATAGGACTCTAAAAAAAAAAAAGGAATTGTCGCTATTTTAGTTGTGTTTGTTATCAGGGAAATCATCAAACCTGGTTGACACTGTTCTAGCGAATAGGTCAATATTCGTACCGGAAAAAACTTCGACGAGGCTCTGGGGAATCCACAGTAAAAGGTCTGTGATGAGCAGTTAGTGTGACGCAAATTAAAATTAGAGAGTATTTTGACAGTAATATAATAACATGTGGTCCGCTATTTGTGCGACGGCTGGGTTTTTCTTGCTGGCGGCGAGGACACCTTTGAGTGTGTCTGCCAACTCCGGCGTTCCGGTACAGGAGCAGTGGGACATAGACCACTTTTGCTTTCGCCGCTTAAACAAAACGCATCAAGTTGGTTGCTCGTCATCGATATCCGGTAACGTCGGGGTGATTCACCTTATCGAAAGTAATGCTGATGCCAAATACGTAATAGGCAATGGGCCTTCCAATATGTACGTGCCGGTAATAGCAGATACCGATCTGTCGGTACAACTGCTCGATAAGTTTATTGAATCGAAACGCGTTGCTGGAGTGATCATATTTCGGAACGGTAGCGCACCGACGAGTTTTTCACCAGACGACACCTGCCCTAATCGCTACTCAAACTACCATACTGACCAGCAAAGTTGCCAATGGAATAAACATCCGGATAATAAGATGACTAGTGCATTTTTCCGTGACTATCCCTTCCCAATGTTCTATGTCAAGAACGGTACGATTATTGGCAAACTTCGAGATTGTTTTAACAAGTTCAACCGTCAGGTCAGTAACTACACGACCTTCGAAAAGCGAAAATGCGCTGTTAAACTCTATTCGCCGATGAATGCGGCCGTCGACACGGTGACTTGTCTACGACGATCCCGACTGTCTGTCGTCATAACGGCTCCAAAAGGCTTTTGCGATCCTCTTGGAGACAACAATGTTGTGACAATCGTGCCCGCTAATCGTTCTCCAGAGGAAAAGGGTTCCTTTGCCAATAAGACGATGATCTTGGTTGCCCGAATGGATACGTTCTCTATGTTCGATAATTTTGCTCCAGGTGCCGATACAGCTGTCACTGGTATTGTATCAATAATAGCTGCGGCCGATGCCATCTCAAAAATGTCTTCAAAAGTACCTCTCAAATATAATATACTTTTTGCTCTTTTCAACGGCGAAGCTTTTGACTATATAGGATCGTCGCGTTTTGTTTATGACCTCATCAAAGGAAAGGCGCCATATAATATGACTGACAAAAATATCTTGTCTCTGATCGAATTTAATCAACTTATTCCTGAGAACAAGGATAAGCCGGAGTGGTTCGCTTATGTGGATAATCAGCAATATCAGGATAACAATGCAACAAAAGAAACGCTTGATAAAATTATGGGCGGTAAGCATATTTCTAGAGTACAGATATTCTTAATCTGAACTGCTCAGTATACATGGATATAAGAACCTTGTCTCGTTTACATACACATTCGTGTTCCTACCTGTTCCTTTATTTAGTTAGTATGCTTTATTCGAGGTTCGGTTGAAAATAGACTCTTAACTAGTGTTTAAAATACAGTAACTACGTCAAATGTGCGTGTGTACCGACTATTTATAGTCTTTGCTACATTAGTAATAAACTTCGAATTTCGATAGGCCGCTTTTATTAGTATTATAAAACGGTCCGGCTCCGTGTGGTCAAATCAACTTTACAGCCACGGAACTCACAATTTGACAACAATAATATCTAGTGATCCAGGGCACTGTCTCACAAAAACAGTAATATGTTGCCAGATTTGTTCAAACAATTTTAGAACAGTGAACAAAATTATATTTATTAAGACATATTGGGCATGTTGACTACATATATATATATATATACATATATGTATATAGAATTATTATAACGTTTTATTTCCCCTTATCTCTCTCGGTGTGTTATAGGACTCAAAATTAACAATGTAACAAAGGGAGCCCTTCCACCAGCGTCTGCGCATAGCTTTTTACGGCTTCTGAGCTCTTCACCCAGCGTGGTGATCACGAATCATAGAGACCGCTATGTCAATAAGTACTATAACTCCTTCTTTGACGACGATCCTCATCGCGTTCAAAATCTAACTGAACTTGCCAAAAACCTCCGTGTCATTGTTGAGAAAGCTTCAAATACGATATTTCGCCTTGCCGGATCCAACAATGACGAATCGGTAAGAGTATATGCAATGCATGTACTTACAGGGGGCTGTCAACCTTGCTATACGAAGTGTACATGCTATGCTATCGCTGTGATGAAAATTCAATATATATATATATGCAATAGAAAAACTTAAATAACAGGAACGAACTATATGTTATATATATATATATACAAAATAATACGTGTTGCGATATACAATTCGTAGTCCGACGCATAGCCTTGTTTATTTCTATGTAAGATAAAATTTCCTAAATGCCAAATAGGAGACAATAAAATAACATTAAGTGCGGACACAGATTTCTGTTTATATATATATATATATATATATATATCACGAACTGTTTGCATTCTGTCTAAAGAACAAAAATACTGATAAGCAAATTACTATGGCTATGGTTGTTTTCAGTTAGAAAAATAATGTCAACTAACTTCTAGCACTGGCGCTGTTTCTTGTAGGTTAAGGTAAACCAAACACTAATTGAGGATCTGCTTGAGTGCTTCCTCGTTAACGCGTCATGCTCGCTGTTTCGCAGTGTCGTTAATGAACAATCCAAGGTTCTCTTACGCAAGGAGCCACTTCAGTTATATGTTGGCGTTGGCGGAGTACATATACAGACACAAATAGCCTATCTTGTATTGGCTTCAGTTTCCGGAGAGGTAAGGAAATTTTTTCGCTTATAGCTTTTCAGGTGACATTTAGGTTAATTTGTCGATTTGAGGTGACACAAATTCAAACGATGGACTTTAATGTAGTATTGATTAAAAGATGTCACTGGCTGATGTCAGATGCTTGATCCCGACAGCAAAATGTGTAGAGTTTTAACTTAAGGCCTGAATAACATAAAATCAACATTTCAAGATAGGCGGCCTTTTTAATCTGTAAACACTATCTTTCTTCGAAAGTTGTCTCTGCGATTTTTACATGGTGACAGAGCTTTTTTTTTGTGGAACCGAAGCTTTATATTGTTCACTTCGCTAGAATAATGCTGTGGTTGGCCTTTCATATTGTGGGGCAAAACAGGACACATACCCGAACTGAGCATGAAATTTAATCAACAAAATGAACATTTTATGGTCGAAAACAATGCCATGGTTAACTTATTTTTGCTACAGCAAAATTATCTCGTAGGTAAAGTGAAACGAAAAGACCGAACAGATGTTATATGAAGACCATAGCACTAAAAACGATCGAGGTTATAAATATTCTATATTTTTCATTTTACCTATTTAACTGTTAATATTTAAGAGCATTAATTAGTCAGTTCATAACATGTGGTCACAGTTCGGAGAAGATTATGTTCTTTCGCATCGGTTCCGCTTCGCTGCGGTAAATACCACTCTAGTTCATATTAGTACTATGAACCTCTATTAGTGTCAATCTTTTTGATCATATCTGTCAAAAAAAAGCAACTTCAAGCATTGCAAAATGAGTACTTACGCCCCATTGCTGAAATCATTCAAACCTCTTCGATATCCTCTTGCAACAGTTTTCATTTATTGATGCCTTTTAGCTCATTAGCTCATCATCAGTTAGTTCATCGTCACTCCTTTTTTCGCTCCGTCCGCAAGGTGGGCCATTGGCAAACAATTTATTCGGATGCCACCCCCACTGTTACTCCATTACTAGTTGTTTCATCAAAATCTATGAAATCTTTTCAGCGTAGAACGTCTTTTAGGCTGCATCAAGAGATAGCTTGATCCACTTGAGGGTTCAGTACCTAAAAATTATCAAATGGTAATTCTACTATTTTTCTTTTAGACAGATCAGCTTCTCCGAATACGCTGTCCTAGTCTCGCCTGTTTTGTACGTGCCTGCACATATAACCAAGTATAGCGAATTAATGTGAAGTGTCTTTCCGGTGCGAATGAAGCACCTCTATTTATTGATGTAGCAACGTATGCTAGTAAAGTACATTTTTAGATTAACTGAATTTTATCTTGTGGGTGTACCATTCGTGTTTATGCACTAAATTCTTGAATCCTATGTCGCCCTGTAAGTGACACCGTAAATTCCCTTAGCGCCGTTTGGTATCTAACGTGTGCTGTCTGCTTATATTTTCAGGTTGTCGAGAACATCACAGACATGAAGTCATGCAAACTCAAGAAGGACGGTTCTGAGTGGTCGTTTGAGTGGATGTTCGGCCCGGCGCCGACTAAGGAACAGCCAGGAATATGTGTACGCCATAGGGTCTTATTGCAAGCCGCAGTAAGCCCCTACTTCGAGAACCCTGACAACGACGATGAAAACGATTATGCGAAATATTCCACTTGGACTGAATCGGTGTGGTCGGCTTCTCGTTTAGAGTTGTTCGTGCAGGCTTCGAGACGTTGTGAACTTGTGGCGATATTGAGCGGAATAGTAATACTCGTCGTTAGCAGCGTCCTCACATTTCTCGTCTACCGCCAAGCGGATGTTATCTTTGAGCAGGCATCACCTGTCGCGTGCTAATGGACATCGAATGATTGACTACGAACCTGCAATGAAAACAAGCTCAAGCATGAAACACCTCCACCGAATCTGTTTGTTCCTATACTTCTGAATTTTTCAAATCTGTGAAAGAGTATTAATTGGAATGAGAATTTACATTTCTTCTCTCGTTATCTCGACGACTGTTGAAGAGCGATTTTGTCATTTATATGGCAGTAGTTTATCGCGCAAGCGTGCCTAAAATACTAATTTGCGTGCTTCGAATTCTTACAATGCGAACATTCTAAGATATCGCCGAAAAATGAAAGCATTAGGGTTATCGTTTGCGGCGAATAGAATACATGGCGCCCAATAGATTTATCGATAGTTGGTGGAGTGCGTGCTGTTATGGGCGCCAGCAACCTGCACTTTATGATGTAAATGCTAATGTAAGAACTGTATATATGAACCATGAATATATAGACAACAAAAAATAAAACGAAAATTATTTGTAGCAAATCTCCCGCTGTATTACAACTGACGCTGGTGGCGGTTGAGATAATGATAGCGTAAGGATTTGTATATTTTTTCATAGAGGAGTAGGAAGAGAATTCGGGAACGCGGTAAAGGGAGGAAAGCAAACGAAGCTACGTTAAACAGTGTTACTTGTTGCCGATCTATGTAAAGGCAATGTATGACATCAAACAAGTAAATATAAGTCTATTGAAGAAATTGAGTCACAAACACATAAGCATGTGATAGTTTTCATTTCTTCCCTAGATAATATTATGCAAGAGACCTACTTCTGATACAAACGACAACAAAATGTATGAACAGGGTGTCCGAAAATAAGAGCGGGTGTTATTCAATGATTTGTTAAAAACAGAAAAGGAAAAGCGAGCAGAATTGAGTGGTCATCGACTCCAAGAGTTAAAAATTGCCTACGAGTGGGCTAAATGCCAGCAAACTTGTATGAGACAGCAAGTCTAACGTGTGATTGAAATGGGTTGCAACTGTTCCTTCCTATATGAGATGCTTTAAGCAAAGAATGTTAATAAACTTCAGTAATTAATTTGGTTCAAAACTTGCTCCACTTTTTAGTTTATAAATTAGCTATCCAGATGTTACTGTGAGCTGTAATAAAAGAGGAATAAAGGTTCTCGGATATCGGCGTGTGGTGCCCAACAGAAGTCTGCCAATATACGATTATTGAAATAGACATTAGGTTATCAAAACATACCAAAACGACTTTTATCTAACTGTTTATTTTGAATTGAACTTGGATAAAAAAAAATGTGCATACGCTCCTATTTAAAGAGATACCTTTATTTCACCAGGATCACTGCTTAAAATCTCGCCAACGACACACATATTACAGAGTTTGTTTGAATAAGAGTCTTTAAGGCGACAACGTTGTGTAATTTCCTAACTAAATAATGCTCTAAATAAAACCAAAACTGTTAACAGTAGGTATAGTGTATATGATGAAATTGACGATCAATAAATGGTAACTGATGTAATTTCCAATGGGCAACTCCGGCGTGGAGGGTTGATGAAAGACAGTATTAGGATTAAGAAGCTATTTCTTATTTTGAACGTTTGTCAAAAAACGTGGTTGGCTGTTTAATGTTTCGAAACTAAATCTTATTTAAATTTTTCCCCGAACTTAACCTTATTAGTAGATAAACCAAATAGAACACAAATGTGACATGTTTTAAAATGATATTTGCAAAATAATGAAAATTCTAATTTTTTTTCAGATTCCTTTCTATAATCTTAGTTACAATTCATTTGGAAAAACATTTGGTGCGCATCATGGAATAGTTTAGCTAAAAGAAAATATGTCTGTAACTACAGGTGTGTCCGAAAATGAACAGAGCGATTGAAGGTTTTTGGTAACTGGACATGAAAATACACGCAAATTTAGTAAGATTATAGCTGTTTGTGACGATTATTAGACTATCTTTGTAGTAGTGGTCGCTAACTGAAGTAAACGTATTTTTGATACAGTAACTTATGTGAAATCATTTCTGCTAATATAATGTTATAGCTCGTCTCATATTGTCTTTGATGTCGGCTGTATGTACTTCTTTATTTTTTTCACCTGTACACATATTCCATTAGAAGAGAACCTTTTATCGATTTTGGGTCTGTTGAAGATCAATCAATTATACATTCATCTGATTGAATCCAGAACGGTTTTTTTCGTTGCATCGATGATCAACATTATCGATATCGACGTACGCAAAATAATATTTCATGCAAAAGCTTGGTCGCGGTTACCAGAGGCTAGAGTCTGTAAAGCATTTAGCGATATGCCTTAAACCGATACTGTAAAAGAAAAAAAATGATCGAAGGAGAAACTTACATAATTTCAGTTTTTGCAGTTTTTACTCGAAGCGGTTTGATGGGTCGTCAGTTTGAAATAGTTCCCATACAAAAAATCTCGAAATAAATCATAACGAATAAAACACTCAAAATAGAATTGCGAGGTAGTCCCATTTTGACTTACCTAAGTTGGCGTACACAGCGCGGGTGATAAAACCAGGTAACTAAGGAATATTTACCACGAACGTCAGAGTTATCCACACACTCGGCCTATCAGGTTGTTAAATTTCGCGATCAGTACTATGAAAAAATCCACACGTGAAATAACTATAATCATGAATATAATCACAATAGTTGTAAAGTCATGGTTTAGTCGAAGGTAAATTCCCAGACTATATTAGTAGTATTTTATTACTTGCATATAAAAAAAAATATGTTGAACTGAAGTAATTATTACTGAAGATTAAAAAAAAAAAAAGGAAAAACAAGAGTGAATTTTCATCAACAATGCCAGTTTCGCGTTCTCTCTTTATTCAATTGGTATGCAGCACACATCGTTTTGTTGGAATCCCTATCTACATGCGGCATAGCGTTGAAAAGTGTCGGTGTTGTTGTACATGATGAATTCCGTTGTTTGTTGTAATTCTTATTCAATTTGGAAAATATATTCATCAGCTATCATAGCCAGAATTTTCCTAAAGCTCGCTTCTCCCTCAACTTCGACTAGACAATATCAAATGACCATAACTGCACTACGTTCTAATAGTAATAATTATCATCGTCACCATCGTACAGAAGAAGCATTTATAGTACAGCGATAACTGAAACGGAGGCATCTCTCATACTCCCCACGTCTCCCTATATCAGAGCATTCAACCTAAACGCTTCGACCAAAAATAGTTTCCCAATAAAGATGACAATTACATTCTCATTAGGTTAACAGGTGGCAAAGAAAGTCTTCACAAAGAAGGTTCGTGCAGGTCGCAATAGGTTTTGCAAACTGTTTCGAAACGGTCTAAAATTGCGGTTTTATGTATATG